GTGTCTGACGTGTCTGATGGACCAGGGGTGGTGCGGTTAGAGGATGAACGCCCGAAGGATTCTGTTTTGCTGCCCACAGTATACGAACCTGTGACTGACAATGCAGGCTGTGACCCCGACCGGGGTGTGAGCAGGATGCAGCTCCTGTCGAAGGTCCGGCATCATGGATTCGCTCCAAGATGCTGCGATTTCATGGAATTCGCCCATGTCATTACCCTTACATCCCTACTTTGATGGATTAATCCCTTGTTCTTTGTCCCTTATTATGGGTTGCGTATTATTATGGGATTTTCATCCCTCTTGGAGAACCAACCCTCCTAACGCACACCGCGAGTTCTCCCGTGTTGCGTCCCTTCATAACTTATATGGGTTTTATCTCTAGCCGGGACAGCTAGTCTTTTATTACGGGGGGTGGGAGGAAGGGGTGGTGGTGGGGGCGGGGGGGGGTGATGTAATGAGAGAGCACCATCCAGTGGGTGCCAGAGGGTAACTGGGTACAGGCACTATTGTGTAATCGGCATCCGATCCTAAGAGGGGATAATATCTGGACCATAGGTGACGGGCGGAGTCGACAGAGATGCTTTGGGAACCATCGGGAAGGTTCCATGAGTGGGCGTGGCTATAGGAATAGCATAGCTCCGCCGGGGAGAATATAAGCAGAGGCAGGGGAGGACTCGTGGTCGGTGTGGGAAGCCTTGGGTCCAGACTGCATCGCTACTCGACATCTCCTCTCGTCGCCACCGACCATGTGGCGGGCTCTCCAGTGAAGTTCGTCTCTTCTCTCCGGCACGCCGCCAGCCAATGGCGAGACCGGGGGAGCGGAGCAAACCACGCTAGTGGACCGGAGAGAGACGCCTCGTCCGTGGCATTGTGAGAAGGGAAATTACCCAGAGAGGAGGGAAGGCGCGGAGCTGTGCAGGACCTCAGTTGAAAAAGAAGCACTCTTACAAGAATCGTCGTGGAAGTCGTTTATTACAATTGTATGCATTCCTCCCACTTATATAGATTTGAGACGTGCAAGCATAATGCCTCCATGCTTCAAATTAATTATATTTCAATGTTACTCATCAGGCGACATTTTACATCATCTCGCTGTGCAGCTTGCAACCTATTGTGATTATCGTTAATCAAATTCCTCCAGTACCACTCCTGTTATAAATCGTTACAGAATCCATGCATATGCTTTGGTTTCCTAGATTTTGTTTTCTTTATAACAGGGTGGCATCGCTGACCAAAACAACACCTGTTTGTGTCAAAGAATAAAAGTCAGTTTATGGAGACAGGTCGCGCTGTCAGAATGTAGAATTTCCATCACTGTCTCAGGTCTACAAATGCAGAATGCGCACCACCCCATGCTTGTTGGAGCAGAGAGATGTGCGAGGGCTGCTGCCCCTCGCCTGCACCGAATTGTCGGGGCCGCTGTCCCCCGACTCCCCCATTACGACCTCGCTACTGCGGGGGCTGCTGCCCCCTGTCTCCTCCGTCCTAATCTCGCCATCCCCCGTCTCCTCCGTCGCAAATCATACCACTACCCCCCAACTGCTCTGTCGGGTTCGGGCTACCGACTTCCAACTCCTCGCCCCCCTGTGCCCCCGCCTTTGCTGCTGCCCACGTAGGCATGGTTCGATCGGTAGGGTCGACGGCTTTACGCTTACGACGCGCTACGCGGGCTTAGTAGTGGGCGTGCTGCGGTGAGCGCGCTCGCGAGGTAAAACCCCGTCTCGTGCGCGAACGAAAGGGTACAGCGCGCCGACACGTGACTCTGCGGCCGGCGCTTAGCCCCCGGGATCCGTTCGCATACACGCCTTACGTGCCCAGGCGCTAACGAACCCGACTCCGCTACCTGCCCGACTCCGTACACCAATCAAAAACGCGAGGGACTTGGGGTCAGGGGTTAGAGGGCTGGGGTTCCCACCGTGCACTCGCCACTGATTGGAGGGAGTCACTTCGCCATGACTTAAAGACTGTTTAAACAACCACGCGAACACCAGACGCTACACTCTCCTATTCGCCGTAAACAGCCGCGTATGCACGCGAACACAAAGCACTCCACCCCCCTCTTCGCACTCACAGTGACCACACGACACAGTTTTATCCTCTACTCTTCTTTAGTCTTAGCTTGGGGCTTTTCCTGACAGCATAAACTACGTGTGTTTGTGTGAGTCAGCAGACACTACCTAGCCTATCCTTCGGGGATTCTGGGCTCAATTTATCCTGCCTGGCGCTCCACTTTCTACCCTCTGATGAATTATCTCAAACTCACCTCTCTCTTACTTACACTTACTTCCACTCTGATGCGCCGGAAACTGTAGAAGGGCGATGCTGTGGGTCGTCTCCGTGGAGGGTTGTGCCTGGCTGCATTGAAGCTCGTCACACGGACGACTCGAACGGCTGACTCCAACACCCCGCTGCTCTCGATGTCTTGAAAAACTCTAATCTTTACTGCCCGAATCACCCTCCTTTTATCCTACCTATAACAAAGGCATTCTGCTGCGGCACCCTCTTTGGCCTGGATTTTCCCGCCCTTTTTATACCCGGATCCCAGCTCTGGTGACGTCACCGCAGTGGTCCCCTCGACGTCCACTCTCCATTCTTCCCGCTATCCGCCCACTGACTCGTGTTTGTGTGTGTGTGGTTCCACTCGCGGTGGCTCAACAGCCCCTGCCGTGACCATGCAACTTTAATATCAGGTCACGGCGCCGCGGTGCACGTCAGCCTCGGGGGTAGGTCGCCCAATTTCCCGGCCGCAGGAAACCATGAAGCTTGATCCCATTAGGGGCTTCTGGATGAAAACCTGTCGGCCAGGTGACCTTCCCTCCCGGCTCTACGTGGGGTGTGCGTGCATTCATGTGGGGGGCGGCGAGGGGCGCGCAGCGTCGGCGTCATCACTCTCCGGTGGCGGCGTCACGGTGGTGGGCACGGCCCCGACGGAGCGGCTCTGCTGCGGCGGCACCACACATGCCTGGACTTCTAATGCAATACTGCATATATCGGGTCAGTTGTGACTGCATCGTGAGCCCGCAAACTATCACCCGATCTCAAACACAAGTACGATATCAACGCCAGAGAGCAAATTTATCTGAAGCGGTTACTTCTCCACGTTGCTGCGATGGGCAGATTAAATTAATTGCACTGAGACGGTTCTACTAAAGATTACTGATGATTTCTAGAAGATCATGGAGGACCGTTGCGCCGTAGCATTGATTGGCCTCGAACTCTCAGCCATTTAAAAACCATCGACTACGTGATACACGGTCATACATATCGCGCGACACTGTCATGCCCTCCATTTTCTATGCTTGTGAAACGTGGACCCCTCTAATGGAATATTTGCCCGATTAGAAACATTCAGGCTGGACTGCCTATAATCCATCCTAGGTTTAACCAGGCTGGATTGTGTGAGAAACTCACAACTCATTGAACGATCTAGATACATTCCCATCAGTGAGCTCCTCCGGCAGGTAATGCTGCGTTGGCTGGGTCATGTAGCCCGCATGCCTAGCCATTGCATGCCCAAGCAGGTTCTGTTTGGCAGGATAGAGGGGGCTAAACGTGTACTACACGGGCTATCGAACAGATGGACTCATGTGGTACAGGAGGAAGTAGAGCTGAGTGGACTTGCCTATGATTGGTACCAGATGTGTCAAGATCGGCCTCTATGGAGGAGGTTCGTGAAGGACACTACTGGTTCGTTGCAGGCAGTCACCCTCCGTCAACAAGAGAGCGGAGTGCAGGGCGGCTAAAATGGTAGCGTCATTTACATATTGTAAATGTGTGTTACAAATTTGACTGTCGTAAACCGGATGTTAAGTTTTCCAATCTTTTAATCAACACTTTAACTGCCAATTAAAAATACATAAAATCGATACTTAAATTAATATCAAAGTTTAAAAAAAGTCACACACAGGAAATTGCCTTAAAAAAGTAAGAAACTCACACTTGCTCCAATATAATATGTTGTGAAATGAACCTTATGGCAGGATAATGTCTTATCCAAAGCTGCTCAAACTGCTTCCATGACTTAAGTCCTTTATTTGTCATAACGGTATGCATAATACAGTGAAACTGCTCTCTTATCTTTCGATTTAAAGCTTTCGTGACTGCAATGATTCATCTTCTTTGGTTCTTTCGGTAAAGTCACTTAGAATGAGAATAAAATAATAAATTGATAAAATAAAATAACACAATAATATTCTCACGATGTTTCGGCCACAACACAAGCGGCCTTCATCAGGTGAAGGGGGCGAGACTGTCTGGTAGGACAGCGCTGGCTCTTTCACTCCAGCGCTGTCCTACCAGACAGTCTCGTCCCTTCACCTGATGAAGGCCGCTTGTGTTGTGGCCGAAACGTCGTGAGAATATTATTGTGTTATTTTATTTTATCAATTTATTATTTTATTCTCATTCTACGTGACTTTACCGAAAGAACCAAAGAAGATGCTCTCTTAACTTCATTATTATTTTAACCTACCAATGTCTGCAGCCAGGATCAATCGATGACAATTCTCTTACCTGCAAATATTTAACAGATGAGATGTGTTGCACTGTTAATTCCTCCTGTTTGATAATACTTCTCTCTTTCATATGCATCTGTGAAGATATGTTTGTTTTTTTTGCAGTTAAGCCATAGTCCCCACATACCACTCGTATCAATGCGGATAAGAGTAGTGGCGACCCACTACTCTGTAGAGTAATATTGGTATAAACGCTTGTTACAATATGTACAGCGCATGGAAAAACGCGTACTAATTTATGTACTGTTTACAAAGTGTGCTCACAAATCCACACTGAGAAACACGATTATTGATAGAGGGGTGTAAATTATTTTTTCGATGGTTGATTTGCAATAGAGATACTGCAGGTGATAGTTTTCAGTTTTAAAGGACCCCGGGGGTCCCGCCATAAGGCTCATATGTGATTGTTGGGTGCGGTTTCGTGATGTGATGCTGGAGAGCCCATTGGTAGAGACGAACGGGGCGTGGCCATCTGCAGGGTGGATGATTAAAGGGAGGGCGTCGGGGCTTGAAGAGGCTGAGAGACGACGAGGAAGGCTGTCGGCTGCTGCTCCTCCTTTGTGACAGTGAGTCATGCTCTTTCGCAATTTGGCTTAATGCTGACTTAGTATATCAATTGTGCGGGGTTTTAGACACGCAAGTGAACGCGTGTAAAATGTATTTAATTGTTTTTCAGGGGATATTCAGTAATGCATGAAATCTCCAAAGCCACGTATTTGTGTTTGTGCAGTGGCGTTCAGAGCTGGCTATGGGGTTTGTAGACTGGTCGATGCATCACGTGACTGTGGGTTTTTTACAGCAATAATGTTACTGACTCATAGCAGGACTATTGCTCTGTCAAATCCTATGTGCACACTTATCCATAATAAAGGGTTTTTTTGGGTTAGATCGCGTTTATTTATAAATGTGTCGTAACCCTCCACTACCCGACACGGCCAATCAGCAAAAAAAGTGTCACGTTGACAAAAGACAAATAATTCACTACTTTAGCCCACCGGTGTGTTGAAGAGTGAATCCACATTTACAGTTTAAGTACGACGTTTCGCTGGTAAATACATCCAGCATCATCGGGCAATTCGCCAGAATGGTAAAGCCCTCGCTTGCTCCCGGTTTTATATAGAGCAGCAGGGTGACGTCATCACTTAACTCATATCAGGTGCAGTGATTAGAGGCGGAGGGGGGGTATTGTAACTATATAATCGATTAGTAATCAGTCATTGGTTATGATTAGTAATGAGTTGTAGATTAGTAATTCTTTAAATCAAAATGTAATGTGTATTATTTAATAATACGCTTCCAGGCCGCACTGAGCCTGTAGCTGTCAGAGCGATTAAAGTTATTCTTGTTCCTCTCAATTTCAATGCACACTTATCATTGATTTAAATAAATCAATTGGAACATGTAGTCATGTGTAATGTGACTGCTGCATTTGAGAATTGTCTAAATTTTAACGGGTGTCCTGGCAACATAATACGTTAAGACAACCTTTGCGTTGATGTATGTTGAACTTATTTTGCACCATGCGTTGCCAACAGTGCTAATCGGAGTTGCGGAAAATGTTGTGACTCTATGTGGCGCAAAACTGCATCACTTTGTTACAACATATCTATGGGTAAAGCCTATTCTTTTTTTTCATCACTTCGTTGCAGCAGTTGATCAATAAAGAAAACACAACACCAGATACGCTACTCTGAACAAATCTTCCTGTTCCTCCGCACCCTTGGAATATAAGATATGTTATGTTATTAATTAACAATCAACTCACTGGTTTTGTATTGGACGTATAGTATAGTAATGGCGTTCCTTAAAATGGTTGGGTTGAGTTATGGAGCAGTGTGTTATGCTTTTTGCTATCAACCCGGCAATTAGACATTATTTCTGTCAACTGATATCCCCAATGACGATCGATATCTGACACGGTACTGCTCCCCTCTTCACCCTAAGAGGATGAAAAAATAGCTTTCATAACCGAACAAGTTAGTATTACTATTGTAAATGCCGAATGTATTCTTGAACATGGAGTAAAATTAACGCTGATACTTAACGATGCCCCCTCCTTGGTGTTGTGAGTACAGAGAGCTGGGGTTCAAGGCGCCTGCCCTGGTTATGCACTGCCCCTGTTGTGGTTGAGACGTGGTGAGTGTGCACTTCTTAAACGTCGGCAACAGTTAATTTTTGGCTAATCAACTTTGCATCTTTTACAAACCCGCACTGACCAGCATAGTGCAGTATGATAACACAATATTCACGTAGCACACAATGTGCCGAGACATTCATTCAGATATGCTTTTTTACGAAGCACAGCCCAATATGGCCACAATGCCAAGTAGTCATCTATAAATCGCACTCTTGAAGGTAAACAAATAGGTGTGAATACATTTCTTGATTTGAGAAAAGCTCTGACAACTTTAGAGAATAGACGGTGGGAGGGAATTCCAAAGTAGAACAGTGTAAGGCAAGAAGCAAGAGAAACGTGTGATTAGTGTCGTGGTTGAATACAGGATTAATTCGACAATATAGTCAAGGCTGTACATGTACAGCTATTATCGTATCTCCACACAGCAAAACTATATCACCAATTCCAAATTTCCATTCGTATCATTTTCACCTTTGTGGTCTGCAACTTGCATTTGTGTCGGAGTAGACCAAGATTTTGTTCCCATTTCGTTTTTCTCTGTGATGAGCTTGTACATTGAGCCATATTTGAGTTTCAGAAGTCTTTGACTACAAGTAGAGGCTCAATAATGTTCACGGTTGCGGCATTTTCATCCTATTTGTGTAGGTATTAAGGTCTGCTGGGCTTTAGACATTAATAATCACGAGGAGTCTAAGGAATTATCTATGTTTTTCTGTTAGGGTTGTTAAACAATATAAAACAATATCATGGGACCTCCTTTGCCAGTACTATAATATGATAATAGGTTTCCCCGTTTTTCTGGCAACAAAACAGGTGTTAAGATGTTAAAACACCAAACTGAAACCTTTTACAAGGAATCATGTCTGCATTAACAACAATAAAAAAAAACTACCACAATAATATGAAACAAATTGACACTTGCATAAATAAAGTCGCATTAAAAACATACGTGCAGAAAAAATATTAAGAGTAGGTGTACACAATGAAATAGACTATAGACAGTCAGGGACGCTAACGCTGAGGCGCCATCTGGCGCCTGAATGTCACCATGCAACGTAATAAATGTGGGTCTGCATAATAAAATTAATACATCTCGAGTTACTTTATGGCGAGGTATGCAGTACATAAAACGAGATTGGTATGAACATTTTTAGTACGTTATAACGAAAGTGTGTACACGGGAAGGGCGTAAACCGGGGTTCAGAAGGTTAGGAACTGTTTCAAGTGGAATTGGTGTCATGAATTCATTGACTGGCATGCGTGAATGTACAAACTGAATGGCAGCCTAAGTCCCCACATGGTACAATTGCCCTTTGTTTTTCATTTAATAGGATAAGGTGCAATCCTGCAATTCCTTGCTAACCCCACTGCTGGCTGAAGAGCCTACACTAGAGGGATTGCAATTTTTATATTTGACTTATGCAATTGAATCCAACAATTATTTGTTGAATTGTCGCATCACGGGTTTTGATTTGATCTAAAATAGGATTTTAACGTGCTTGAAATGCCCCAACTATCTCCGTGCAAAGCACTAGGTGTTTTTGAATTGTGGCTACTAACCGATTTAACAAAACCTGTGAAAACTAGTTTACCAAATGCAAAAACATACTACGTGGTGGACAGAGGTTTAGCGGAGGGGTTGGGTTGGTCGATTTATGATGCTTGCATCATTCTTTAAACTTTCACGCTGGGAGATTTTATCATCCACAGTGCTAAGAATTAAACCAAGGCAGCGCCCTTCATTTATCAGTTAAATTTGAAGTTGAGTAACATTTTATATTTTTGACAGGCATGTTTAGGCGTGGTAAACAGTTTTTTTTATCTTGTTTTTATCTGTTATCACTTATGTATAAAGGTTATTTTAGCAGCTGCAACTCATGTACTGTACATCGTATGTTACTATCCCCAAGTGAGAAGCAAGTGACTAGCCCCACGTGATTAATTTCAACACGTAAAAATCCTATCTTAGATGAAAACGCAACCCTTGATGTGCCAGCTCAACAAATACCCATAATAATAAATAATAATAATAAATGTGATTTTGAGTGAGCAAGAAAATGTGGTGTTTGCACTTTGGCAGAAATTAAATCAAGAACATAGTTGGTGTGACTGGAGTCAAAATGCCAAATTATAGTAGTAGGTCGTGATTTATATATGTCATTGCAATTTGTTTGACAGGTCACAAGTTAGCTCCCATGATGGAGCTTACGGACAAACACAAGCAACCTCAGGAAAATCTTCCAAGTGGTTATTCTCGTCCGATCCAGGTATTCGTAATGGACCCAGTAATGCATGATTACTACTCTGTCAAAAATAAAGTGACACTAACTATTCTATTTTTATTTTACTAGGTAAGACCCACTGAGCTATATAGCTCCTTTTAAGACGTGACCTGGCCACAGATGAATGCTCAACGAAGTGGCTTATCATGTGGAGCTTTATAGTAGCCAAACACGTACTCTAAATGCAAATTGATTCTAAATGTGGAGTTAAACACCGGAGGATCCGGATAAAAATCCACACGATTACGGGAAGAACATGCAAACTCCAAATATACAGGCATAATCAGGGTCGGGATCGAACCCACGACCTCGTGTATACCAAACTTGATTTGAAGCTTTCGTGACTGCAGGAATTACTTTTTAGTTATTTCGGTAAAGTCACATAGAAAGAAAATAAATTAAATAATAGAGTACGACGTTTCGATTGCAACACAAGCAACCGTCATCAGGTAGAACTCAATTTGAGAGAGACAAAACACAGACACGGAGACACACAGACAGACACAAGTAGAGAGAGACAACACAGACACACAGAGAGAGACACACAACATAGACACACAGAGACCCAATGCCTCTCTGTCGAGGCCTTAAATAGAGAGAGAGAGAAGGGGACGGGGCAGAGAGAGAGGTGGGTCTGCTGAGGCAGCTGCTGGAGAAGATAAATTAGCATGTCAATGAATCCACCCCTGGTAAACTTTAGAGAGATAAATAGTTTGTGAAAACAAAATTTAGCAAATCTTTTGGGAATATAATAAAATGCAACACAGAGAGTCGGCTAACACACAGTTAATGCATAGCTTGGTTGATTACGATCTCCAAGGATTGCTAAAATTAAGTGTGAAATTTGACAGAGACACAGAGAGATGTGTGAGAAGCGGCTGGGGGAGAGAAAGAGCGAAGTTTATTTTCTCAAACGACCTATTTCTCTCTCTAAAATTTACAAGGCTCTCATAGGTACATTAGCTACAAAACCTACTGAATGCAACTCGCATGTTCCTATTTCATCTCATCTTGAATACAGTTCATCTATCATTCGAAAATGATGTCCATATTGATATTTTTGCGTCTGCATTTACATGCAGCCAGGTGGTTGTCACAATTTGCATTTTGCAGTTGTCACGTAAGACTTACCTGTGCAGGTTTACTACATCCAGGCCTTGAAACATTTATAACTTCCTATTATCTCTTTCATATATTTTAAATTAATTTCCCGTAGTTCTTATTTCATCTGTAAAGACATTTCCTGATTTTCTTCTATTTCTGATGCATATCTCATGTATCTTTACTATATCGATATATTACTGACTGTTCTGAAAACATCATCATGCTATATCATTTGTTGTGATCTTCTGTTTACGTTTTTTTTACCTGGTCCTATATCTTTAAATAAAGGCGCGGAAGACATTAGAGTTATGGACGAAAATTAATTGGAGATACAGAAACCTATGTATTTATTGCCTCGAAAATTCACACATTTCCAGAATATCTGTTGTCTATGTGTCTTGTATTATTTACAACAATCTGATACAATGGAGAGTTAATTAAAATAGTAATCAGTTGTTTTAGATCAATGCTAGTAGGCAAGTTTTTTTTAATGGTATTGCCTTCTAACCGAAAGTAGGTTAACTCATTTAGAGTTAATGCAACCTACAAGTGAATTCAAGATGCTATTTGGTGTCAATATTTCCCCTCACACGTTTTATCTCTGAATCTTTTAGGGAAAATAAATTAATCCCAATGAAAACAACGTCTACATGGAAGATGTGACAATTGTTCTGCCCATTACAGAAAATGGGGTTTGTGGTCTTGGTGAGCTTTGGGATTGTCACCGCTCTGAATCCACCCATCACAATCTCTTTGGCAAACAGCTTCAGAAGGAACACGTAATATTTCACCCATTAAAGACATCTAATTACAATCTGACTCGTTTAAAGAACACCGAGGACCATGTGAAATTGGTTAAACTCAGTGGTGCCATGAGTATGGAGTTCTTGTCTGGGCTTATTAAGGTGGAAGGTTGTGGCGAGTATAATGGAAATGTCACAAGCAGTGGGAATGAAGAGACACTTGTATGCCAGTATAATTTGGATAATGGTTCGGTATTCTTACTTCCACAGGCCAAAACTGTAATAAATCAAGCTATTACAGACTTGCTAATGAACAGAAAAATCAAAGCCACGCACGTAGTACATGGCTTGATTTTGGGAGCAGAGGTAAATGCACACATAAGAGTAAGGAACATTAAAACTAACAAGAGAGATGAAATCAAAGGCAGTGTAATTGGGAAACTTGTCTTTGGAAAAATAAGTGCCTCTGTAAAAGCCAAGTTGGAGTTGCTGGACTCTGATAAAGCACAAAACTATGAGACGCACATCGCCATTCACTCCAAGCCACCAATGAGGCAACAGCAGCCATCAACTATAACAGAAATGTTTGACTTGTTGGAGAAGGTGGACAAATTACTTGCAGAAGAGCGACACTTCAAGTTCATTGACCCAAGCATCATGGGAGTCCCTGTACGTTGGGTGCTTGTACCGATTGCTCAGTTCCTAGATGTGAAGGTTGAGCGGCTCTACATGCAGATCGATGAGACTCTGCGAGAAGACTTTCGCACAATGCTCATTTCTCTTCAGGATTCGCGTGGTCCTGGGTGCATTAAGAGGCGAGTGCTCGAGAAAGACAATCGTCTCAGTCTAATTCTCTCAGATCCTAATTCTGAACTCTCTCAAAACATTTCAAAATATGAAAATATGTTAAACAAGAAAATGGAATTAATTTTTGTTCGTGCCTGCAATGTTCTAAAGGAATACAAGAGAGCTATTGCTACATCCAGTGACCTGCGTGCTATTTTGCAAGAATATGGAACTTCTGACTTTAGTGTCGTTGACTTGTATGCAAAAGTGGAAGAGTTTGTGGTCGATGGAAAACGTGAACTTGGTGGAATCCATGCAGAAGATGAAACTCGAATGGGTGCAGACATCTGTCTCCTCACCAACCGTGAATCACTGCGTGAATGGATCAGCACTGAATCAAACATTAAAATATTGTTGTACACAAAGGGTGACTCCACCAGTGGGGCCTTCAATCGCCTCTTTAACCTCAGCCAAACACTGAAGGAGCTCAATATAGAGGTGGGGGTTGCACTCCCCAGCATCTCTGACAGCTTTTGTCTTTCCATAAAGGTTAAAGAAAAGTTAACCAATCATGAGTCCGCTGATATTGCATGGATTCTCGGGATTCTCAGTGCTGCAGTGAAGAGGGACTCTTCAATGGAATCTCGTTTCTACACAATTATGGCTTCACTCTTTGAAATTGAATTGCCACTTCAGTCAAATGTACTTCACGAATTACATCGCTTGGTAAAGATCTTGAAAGTAGAAGATGTACACATTACATCTTCCTACATGGAATCTTTGGAGTGTATTTTGTCTGGTGACAATCACTGGATCTTCTTTGTTCCAATAGATGCATTGGACACTGCACGCGAAGCCATCCGTAAGCTTCGTATGAACTTAATCAATCCTGTCAATGCCAATGGAAGATGGGTGGTTGGTAGTCTGGGCATCCCTAACCAGCATGAAGCCCCATTGCTGTTCGTTTTCCGTGGTGGAATCATCAAAGCAATATGCTTGGATCATCTCGACATTTGTATTCTTTTTGATCTTTTCAAGATTGCTGAGTCTTCTCTCAACAAAGAGCCAGATTTACGCGTCCTCTCACCAGATTCCCTGCAGTGTTCTATGTATATAAGGAGAGCCAATTACGCCATGAGAACAATTGAACGTGTGCATCAAATCAAGCATTCCCGGGAAGATTACGCTCAACTCAAGATGCCATCTTTTAACGAAAATGCAGATCAATCACTTACTGATGCATTGAGCATTGCACGCAGTTGTCTTCACTTCGATGACACGTATGTAATTGCGACAGTTGCTTCAATTGCAATTCGAGAGAATCCAGAAATATGCAGTATTCTAGAGAAACATGGTTGGAAAAATGTGGCCCAAAAGTTTGAAAATGAGGTTCTGACGAAGCAAGACTGTGAATTGATCTGTACTGCACTTCAAGACTGGTTGAGATCACGTAATACATTTCTGGCCAAGGTTGAGTTTGCCAAACGGACCATTGATCAAATTGAGTCATCACCATGTCAACACAATTATGAGCGTATGAGCAAGGTTAACAGTGCTATACAGTCAGTTTATAATGACCCACAGTGCCCAGAAAAACTAAAACTTTTAGTTTTGAGTTTGCAGGAGAGTGAGTTTAAACAAAAATGTAAAGGAATTCAAATATATCTGAATGACCAATTATCTGCCTATAAACAGGAACAATGCATACTTCATGTAACGTCACTGATTGACATCTTGAGACAAGTTTATAAAAACGACTCCTGTTTTCTTAGTGTGCATGATACTATTAAACAATATGTGAACCGAGTTGACTTTAAAAAAAGCCATTTTGTCCAATCTAATGTGATTGAATGCATAAAAAATAATCAAATTTACAATGTCATTGAGCAACTGGCGAAACTGCAGTATGACCATCGACTGATTGCAATACATTGTTTTCTTGATGAGCTGACAAATCTAAGTGACAATGAAGTGACGATTGGTTTGTTGCAATTACTGTCAAGTGACGGTTTTGAAAGAATCCATTGGGAAGATCTGTGGACAAATTCATCATTCAAGTACCTGATAAAAAGTGTGATTCATGATCATAATATTCTGCAAATGATTAGCTCACTGAAGCACAAATTTAACATCACCGATACCAAATACATGCCAGAGGAAATTCAAGAGCTGTCACATTTTAATAAGGAAGAATCGGAGTTTGTCATGCCAGAAAATATTGACAGTCTGGAAAGTGCCCTAAACATATTCAAGAAAATTCTGAAAACAAATGAAATGCCTCCTAATTTTGGAGAAGTAATGAGAAAAGCCATTAGCAAAAATATTAACTTGGAGAGATCCCTACTTGAAGCAAGTTCTTTGATTTACTGGAACACAAAGTACAAGCTTTTTGACGACGTTTGGTGTCTACAGACAGTCAAAAAAGCAATAGAAAATATTAGCACATTTATGGAAAAGCAAAACTCAGCCAGATGTTTAACTAGCTCAGAGGATATCAATATATTTTTCAGCGATGATGACTCTAATGTACCAAGCACAACAATTGTCAAAACGTTTGTAAGTGTTCATAAAGATTTTCACTCAATATTTGGTGACTCTCTGTCTTGGACAACGGCTAAGGGTTACATTGAAGTATGTGATATCACGCAGAAACCAAATGTCTACAGTGACAAAATGTCACCTATCATGCCTATGGTTCTCCCATTTCTTCTGCAAAATCTTAAAATGTGGGGTGGAAATGTTCTTCAAGCGAACGCCATCTCTAGCTTAGTTAAAGTAGATGCTAAGACAACTCAGAGTGGACATGCTTTTAAACGTCCCACTTTTGGAAAAAAATCAGCTCCCACAAATAGCAGGCAAACACAAGAGCAGATTAAAGTCCCGTTCTCTCGACTTGACTGCGTCGTTGCTCTGCTCAGCTGTGCCGATTGCACCGTCGCTCAGGATCTACTGCAGGTCATGATGAAGTTTCCGATGGCGCTCCCACTGGTGATGCCCGACCTGGAGATGAAAGACAAGTACAAGGTGATGTTGCCACTGCTCTCTGGCAACACCATCAAGTGGGAGGCTCAGTCGGGTGTCATCGTTGAGAACAACCTGTTCATCAGCCCGTTCAGACTGATTCTGGCCGTTAGGCTCGGTACCAATTCACTTGGAAAGAGCACGATCCTCAACCAGCTCATGAAAGTGGAGCATTTGTTCTCATCATGTGGGGAACCTGGAGCCCACCGAGGGCGGCCTCTGACCCTGGCTGGGACGGTGGAGTTCACGTGGCTCACACAGGAAACGTGTGGGGCTGGGCTCTGGGAGTCTGTCCTGAAGCAGTTTTACGCGCGTGGAGAAAATGAGATCGTGCTGTTGGCGAACCTCCATGGAGATGCCTCTGAGTACCCCGAGGTTATCCAGTTCTTGAAGAAAATCACTTCAACGTACATAGTGTTTATCATGCCAAATGAAGAAAACATAACGTCAAAATGTGACACATTAGCCAGTCTCACCGATTCTGAAGATAATACGCTTTACCTAGTGGTGGATCCTAATGAAGAGTGCAATGAAGCAGATTGTATAATTGAAACAGCATTGCTGACAAATGATGACATGTTAGGGAAGGTGCGACAGATATTCAGCGAAGCCTTAACATCACAATTAGTTAAGACAAAAGATCATATGGAGCTGAACTACTCTCAGCTTGGTATGTCATTGCATCCTACTAAGGGTGTTGAGTGCAAGGAATCACAGAAACTTATACAATTTATTTCAGAAAAGCATTGCCAAACTATCAGGAGTTCCATGAAATTTCAGAGCCAGGAAAAGCAAAAGAGAACAACTGCTTTATGGGAAGGCAATGAAGTACTACAAAAAGTGATTCAACTTCTTTGTCAAGTGTTAAGTTTGCCACTTGCTGACAGGCTACCAGCATTCACGCATGTTGAGCGACATATATCTGTGCTTTCAAACAGCGAAAGCGCGACTCTTAGGGAAAAAATATCGAAAAACAGAAATGAGTTAAGGCGGCAAATCACCCTGACAGGTCAAAACCAGGTGAATGTAATGCCGATAAAATGGAAGATCTGTTCAGACATGGAACAGTTGGATAAAATTAGCTTGGGTCAAGAGCATTTCTTTCGAGAATTAGGTCACATCTACGAATTAATACAAGGAGACAAAAAAAATTACGTGAATAATGTCAATAAACTTCCCAGATCATATGCGGAACTGATGATCAATGGGCATGCAATAGAGCTGCTTAATGGTGACACAGGTGAAATGCCTGGTGCTTGGCTCTTAAAAATATGTCAACACATCTCTGAAGATTACCCAAACTTGCGGATTTTTGTGATTTCTATACTTGGCCTGCAGTCTTCTGGGAAATCCACACTCCTCAATGCTCTCTTTGCTTGCAAGTTTGCAGTCTCTGTTGGTCGATGCACCCGCGGTCTCTTCATGCGGCTCCTCTTTCTGGAGAAGGCTCTTGGTGAAAGACTCCAGACGGATGCCATTCTGCTCATTGACACAGAGGGACTAGGATCGCCAGAGAAAGTTAATGATGTTGAAGCAGAAAAAAAAGACCGAATACTGGCAACATTTGCAATGAGTGTGAGCAACTTGACAATCATCAACGTTCTTGGAGAGTCCATGAATAATTTGACGGAGATCCTGCAGATTGCTATTGTGGCAATGGCACGACTAGAACAGGTTAAAATGGCACCAGATATTCTCATGGTTCAGCATCTGACAGAGGTAAATCTAACGAACACATCTTCAGGACAGGACCAATTCTGTGAGGCGCTTAAACATGCAATAAAGCTTACACAAGAAAAGGATGTTGATGTGGGGATATTAGATGTGAATTGTTTGAAAAAAATAGCAGACCGAATCCAGAATGAAGAGCTTCTCAAACAATTCCGCCCGTTTAAAAACGGCGCGAGTGCTGGAGCCCCCCCATCAGAGCAGTACCACGCTGACGTGGTGGATTTGTACAAAACTATCCTAGATGCATGCCAGCAATCGGATAACAAGATGCTGTTCTCGGATTGGTACTCACTCGTGCATAACTACTGGAGTCTCGTTTTGAATGAAAATTTTGCTGTCCGATTTAAAAATATACAGGAGATGTATGAATTTATTGAGCGTGGGAAGCAAATAGCAGCCTTAAAAGATAACATTGATTCCGCATTTTATATGCATCGACAGAGACTTAAAATAAATCTGAACCAGGCGATGCAAGAATTGACCAACGAATCCCAGCACCAAATTCGCAAAAGTTTTTTGAAAACGTGCCACGAGAAATTGGAACTAGTTCCAATCGCTTGTCAGGGTTGTAAGCAATGCAATGGTGTAATGGAACAGCGTGGACGTCTCATGAATTACGCCAAAAAACATCAGTGTGAGCAAGACGTAATGCAAACAATAAACAGGTATACTCAGCAAGTCCGCAAGTCCACAATGAAGACTCTCACACAAATGCTTGATGCTGCTATTGTTGGTAAAGGCTACTCGGTGGAGTTTTTGGATGAAATCAGTCGGCAACTGAAGTGCGAATTAGATAAGAGGCCAGCTGGGCAGTTTACTGATGCAGAACGAGACAAAATTGTGGACACGATTTGGAAAACGCTTTACAAGATCGCGAATGAAAAAAATATTGATATTCCTGATGATAGGAAAATCCTAAGTGAAATTTGTATCGTGTATGAAAACTCACCGTATGTTTGCAACGCAATGACAAATACATCTCATTCGGAAAGTGTGTTTAATCGAAATGAACGCTGGTTTGATTTTTTTATTCCAAAATACTTCAAGAAATCGTCTAACAATATGATAAGTCTTAGTGATAGACTTGAAAAGATCGCAACGTCAATGCTAAATAGTCGGAATGTTGAACATTATGAAAATGGAATGATTAGGGAAATAAACAAAAAAATAGATGATATTTTATCAAAACATAATAATAAACTTGAACCAAAAAAAAAGCAAGATGCCCATATATTTACTCTGCAGATATTTTGCCAAGAAATGAAGGACTGTCAAATTAAATGGGAAAAAAAACACAAGCCAACTGAAATACTAAAAGAGAGAGAACAGGATTTCAGGTCAATGATAGACACCCGCCTTACATACGGGTTTTCTGCAGCTTCTGAAGGAATCCTCATTGCAGAATATCTTCTTAAGGCAATTAACCAGAAAGCCACAAGGAGCGTGAATGACTTGAGGGTCGAAGCAGTGCTTGATCTGCCTTGGACAATCAACAGTGAAATTGTTCGGCTAAAGTACTTTGAGCGCCTGGCTTCTCAGGTCCAGAAAGGACAAACAGCAGAGGCAGTTGAGTACTTCAGACGTCCAAAGACGTCAATTGATAAGTGGTTCAGTGAGGCCGTCGATGGTCACGTGTGTGCTAAGGAGAAAGAAGAATTTAAAAAGACATTTACATCACAGCATGAGCGTGTGGTTAAAAAAATCAGCAATTGTTCAAATATTCAAGAAATCCTCGAATTTATTCAAGAATACTTGGCGAATGTCGATAATGTTGAATATAAAAGCAGTTTGAATAACGATATCCCACCGATAGACCTACCCGTGTTTCTTGATAGCATCTTAAACGTGTTTAATAGCTCAAGACAAAACAATGGTCCGGATATAAAATGGTTAAAAAATCCATCAACAAATAAGAAGGTGATGAAAAGGATTGGATGCACAGATAATTGCCTCTGGTGTGGAGCTCTGTGTTGGGGATCCCGTGGACATGATGAAAATAGTGATGAAACAAGAAAACATCATTCCTGTCACCAGCCATGTGGCCTTCACGGTACAAGTAATTACACAACTGAAGAGTTAATGGCAGAGAGTTGCCATTCATGGAGCGATGATCGACAAGTCTATTGGGGTGACAAACTAATGAAATGGTCCGAGGCAAAAGCTCTTCCAGAATGCAGTAATTGGAAATTCGACCCTCACTGTAATGCCACTTTTGATACCCTCATGCGATGGTTTTTTCAAGAATTGCATCAGCAGATCGCCCAAACTATGGAACTGCGTCCAGCAACACAAGATCAGCTACAAACGAATAAGTGTGAAAATCTACATCTTAATTCTATCCTGGCGAAAATCCGCGTGTTGATTGAAAAATAAGACTCGATGGTGCATCGAGCTAGTAGATTATCTTAAATGCATATTCTATGTTTGAGTCAGTTATGATGAATTATAATTCACAGCATATATATGGTAGTACTTTCCACTATTGTATTGATAATTATGATAGTTACTAAATATTTTAGATTGCCATAATTAGGCTGAAGTGCTGTCATGCTGTAGTGAATAGTGTAATGTTTCTATAAAACCAACGCTTTTAGGTTGTGAGATTTTTTTTCTGGGATTGAATTATTTAAAATGTTTGCATAATAATGGAGAAAATTTTAGGGGCATAATTCTCATCTTGACAATCTATTGCATCAAATTTGAATGAATTTAATCAACATTGGATTGCCCCACAATTGGTAATTTCAATCGCTCCAATTACACGACAGGAGCGTTACAAACATTCCTCTAGCAAGGTGTGTTGGAAAGTGCCCTCGTCTTTGTGGATTAAAAAAATGGGTCACTTGAAGGGATATCGGAAGTATTTATGTGATCTCTTTCTGCTGGTCAATCTCACGTGGGATGGTGCACTGCTGACTGCAATCGTTCCAAATGCACATTCTCATTAAATAATTCCGATAGCATTATTTGAATAACTTGTAAAGGGGAGAGAAAATGCACAGACCATTGTTTTCTCATTATTCCGTAGGTAAAATAATTTTAACCCTTTTATAATAACCCAATACATGATCAATTGCCTTAAACGTATAATAAAGTTGCATGTAGTCTTGATATCTTGATTGGTGCATATTTTAATCACATTAGTATGTAATATTAATTATTTGCTTTTATGTAATGTATCGATTACACATGTATTCCTATGGATTATGGCTTGCTGTATTTGGGGATTTTTAACGTTCATATAGGTTCCGTTGTATCACCATTGAATTGTTGAACATCTATATGCTATTTTGAGTTTTAATTCCGATTTTACAAATGTTTGATTTAATAAAGCCAATGCAATCTCTGGTAAGGGTTGTCATTCATGGAATGTTTTATGATGTTAATGTGATTGGGATATCAGCTGCTGATATTACTTCACGTGAGGATTCTATACTGTCCACTTATCCACATGTCCACGTATCAAAGTATCCATCTTGAACGTTCGTCGCAGCAAAGAACAACAGCCACATTTAATTCAGCGATGTAACTTATCAAATCACTAAAAGCATTTCAAACACGAATGTAATTTCGTTATATTGAAATAATCACAGATGGGGTTAAATTATCTGGGCAAGTGTCAAGTGATGGGCCTGTAAAGTGGACTGTGGGTTTTCATGCAGCCTCGGTGAAAAAATTCCACAGAGCAGATAGATAGCTACGAGCTGTAAGTATCTGTGTGTTCTACCAATACTAGAGTCCACCAAAAAGGTGGCGTCCATTAATAATAGATTTGAAGCTTTCGTGACTGCAAGGATTCATACTCTTTGGTGTTTTCGGTAAAGTCACGTACAGTGAGGGAAAAAAGTATTTGTCCCCCTGCTGATTTTGTACGTTTGCCCACTGACAAAAAAAACCGATCAGTCTATCATTTTAATGGTAGGTTTATTTTAACCGTGAGAGACAGAATAACAACAAGAAAAAACAAGAAAAAACTCACGTCAAAAATGTTATAAATTGATTTGCAGTTTAATGAGGGAAATAGGTATGTGACCCCCTCTCAATCAGAAAGATTTCTGGCTCCCAGGTGTCTTTTATACAGGTAACGAGCTGAGATCAGGAGCACACTCTTAAAGGGAGTGCTCCTAATCTCAGCTTGTTACCTGTATAAAAGACACCTGTCCACAGAAGCAATCAATCAGATTCCAAACTCTCCACCATGGCCGAGACCAAAGAGCTATCCAAGGATGTCAGGGACAAAATTGTAGACCTACACAAGGCTGGAATGAGCTACAAGACCATTGCCAAGCAGCTTGGTGAGAACGTGATAAGAGTTGGTGCGATTATTCGCAAATGGAAGACACACAAAAGAACTGTCAATCTCCCTCGGCCTGGGGCTCCATGCAATATCTCACCTCGTGGAGTTGGAATGATCATGAGAACTGTGAGGAATCAGCCCAGAACTACACGGGAGGATCTTGTCAATGATCTCAAGGCAGCTGGGACCATAGTCACCAAGAAAACAATTGGCAACACATTACGCCGTGAAGGACTGAAATCCTGCAGCACCCGCAAGGTCCCCCTGCTCAAGAGAGTACATATACATGCCCGTCTGAAGTTTGCCAATGAACATCTGAATGATTCACAGGACAACTGGGTGAAAGTGTTGTGGTCAGATGAGACCAAAATGGAGCTCTTTGGCATCAACTCAACTCGCCGCATTTGGAGGAGGAGGAATGCTGCCTATGACCCCAGGAACACCATCCCCACCGTCAAAGATGGAGGTGGAAACATTATGCTTTGGGGGTGTTTTTCTGCTAAGGGCACAGGACAACTTCACCGCATCAAAGGGACGATGGATGGGGCCATGTACCGTCAAATCTTGGTTGAGAACCTCCTTCCCTCAGCCAGGGCATTGAAAATGGGTCGTGGATGGGTATTCCAGCATGACAATGACCCCAATACATACGGCCAAGGCAACAAAGGAGTGGCTCAAGAAGAAGCACATTAAGGTCCTGGAGTGGCCTAGCCAGTCTCCAGACCTTAATCCCATTGAAAATATGTGGAGGGAGCTGAAGGTTCGAGCTGCCAAACGTCAGCCTCGAAGCCTTAATGACTTGGAGAAGATCTGCAAAGAGGAGTGGGACAAAATCCATCCTGAGATGTGTGCAAACCTGGTGGCCAACTACAAGAAACGTCTGACCTCTGTGATTGCCAACAAGGGTTTTGCCACCAAGTACTAAGTCATGTTTTGCAGAGGGGTCAAATACTTATTTCCCTCGTTAAAATCCAAATCAATTCATAACATTTTTGACATGCGTTATTCTGGATTTTTGTGTTGTTATTCTGTCTCTCACTGTTCAAATAAACCTACCATTAAAATTATAGACTGATAATTTCTTCATCAGTGGGCAAACGTACAAAATCAGCAGGGGATCAAATACTTTTTCCCTCACTGTAGGTAAAAAAATAATCAAATAAAATAATATAATATAATAGATGAAAACATCTAAATTAAATCACGACGTTTCGGGCGCAACACAAGCGTCCTTCTTCAAGTGGGGACAACGTAGCGAAAGCACAAACGCTTCAGTGTGTCCCAGAGATGGCTGTGACGAGGGATTATATAGAAGTCGTGGCGCATGGAGAGGGGGGGGCATGGTGAGTGTGGGGGCGGGGTGTGGGCTGGGAGGCAAAGTTGCGAAACCGAGGGTGCGCTGGGAGGCAACGACTGGAGCCGAAACTGAGGCTTTGTGATGTAGATGGCGGAAGTAGATAAGCAAGCTAGGATTAAGCCGCCTTTTGTTATGCTGCCGGGTGGGTAAGTTAGAAATGCGCAGGCTAACAACGTATGGAGTTCAAACTGAAATGCAACTACTAAAACCAACAAGATCATCACTAGTTCGACTTCCCTAATCGAACCAATCAAACGGCTCTCCCTGAAACCCTCGGCTGCGAGACCTTCCAGATTCTATTGGCTTCCCAAGATCCACAAAGAAGGTACCCAACTACGGCCCATTGTGTCTACGATCAACTCACCTACCTACAAACTGGCTCGTTTTTTGTCGGATACCCTGCTTCCCTTCACTGCCAGAAAATATCAGCAGTACTTAACTCACTTGGTCTCTCTAGTCAAGGACATTTTACTGTCTACTGATAATGTCCTCGTCAGCTTTGATGTGGTCTCTCTGTTCACTAAGGTTCCAGTGCCTGACACCATAACAATAATTGAAGACTTAGTCCAAAATGGACTGAACCCTGATGTCCCTGCGCTGGTTGGGCACTGCCTCACCAACACTTACTTCACCTGGAATGGTACCTTCTACAAACAAAATGAGGGCACCCCTATGGGTTCCCCCTTGTCACCAGTGATAGCCAATGTTTTCATGAAGAAATTTGAAACGGACGCCATCCAGACATCCACCCTGCGTCCTTTCCTGTGGAAGAGATACGTGGATGATACTTTTGTCATTTGGCCACATGGCCTCCCAGCATTGAACCAATTTCTAGACCACATCAACTCCATACACCCGTCCATCAAATTCATCATGGAAGTAGGGAAGGATGGCAAGCTACCATTCCTGGATGTTCTGTTTGAGAGGAGGCCCAATGACTCTTTGGGACATTCTGTCTACAGGAAGGCCACCCACACAGATTCCTACCTGAAGTCTGATTCCCACCACCATCGAGCACAAAATAATTCCCTCATCAAAACACTATACCATAGGGCTCATTGCATCTCTGACCAACACCACATGGCCAGTGAATTAGAACATGTACATCTGGCCCTCAAGATGAACGGATACTCGGACCGTGCTATCCGCCAAGCTGTTTCTCCCAACGTGGAAAAACAACCCACTGAGACTTCGATCAAAATTATTACGTTGCCATACAAAGCAGGCGTTACCAAAAACATTTCCAAAATTATAAACAAACACAAGATCCAGGTCCGAGTCAGTACAGTACGCAAAATCCGTGATCTGATCCCATCTGTAAATGATGTCATTCCTGACTTACAGTACCCTAGTGTCTACAAACTGAGTTGCACCTGTGGGGATTGTTACATCGGGGTAACGAAACAACATATTTCTGATCGCATTCGCGAGCACAAGTTGGATCTGAAACATGGCCGGATGGATTCTTCGGCCGTGGCCGACCACTTTTATAATGCTGATGATTCTCATGATATTGTTTCTCTGATACCAAGGTGCACTGCAAGCCTCCTGGATAATACCAAAGACTTGTCCATGAAGCCATCCATATATACAAACATAGACATAACTTCAACCGTGATGATGGATTAAAATTTAGCAATCATTGGAAAGATGTAATTAACCAAGTCAAACTTTAGCTACCAGGCAGTTTACTGCTCGACAGCCGGTTAAGATGTATTTTCATAAACATACACATATTCCCAGTCTGTTACCTCCAGTTTTATACACTACCATCGCCATGGTAGTGTGTACCACAAGTTGTTTTTTAGCTTGCACATTTCAGTTTGAACTCCATACGTTGTTAGCCTGCGCATTGCGAATTTACCCACCCGGCAGCATAACAAAATTAGGCTTAATCGATAGCTTGCTTATCTAATTCCGACATCTACATCACAAAGCCCCAGTTTCGGCCCAAGTTGTTGCCTCGCAGCGCATCCTCGGCTTCCCAAAACATAATTTGACTTGAGTTTTAAATGAGCGGTCAAAATTTTTGCAAATATTTTAATACCGTATGTAAATGTTCATTTATTCGTGAATCCAAGGCCTCCCCAGGCCATGTCGATCAAGGAATTTGTTTTACCATACTTCACCATGCTGATCAGTGCAGGTTGGTGACGTGGGGGCACCCAGGACTGGTTCAGTTTTCACTCAACACCGATGTAAGCCGGGAATCAAACCCGCGTTATCAACTTCATAGTGCAATGCACTAATCTCTGAATTTACATGATAATGTTTTTGTTTTCAAACAAATGTTTGAGTGGGGTAAGAGCACAAAGCATAAGCAAATGAAATACAGGTTTCATATGAGAATTCATTTGAATTATAGACTCCCGTACATTTGTTTCAGCGTTTTGCTGAATATTGGATTGATTATAGATAATTTGCCGTGCCATTTCCACACATGTGAAGTCTCACGGATTATCTGTAAGACGCATGGTAATACCCCACCCATTCTTTTATCTAAAAATAGACTCGACCTCGGCTGTGTGACAGTTAAATGGGTATTGGGCACTGCAGAGACGAAGCTGCGCGCTCGTGCACATGCACAACATTAAATAAAAAAAGCGCGTGCATTGCACACGAGCGGAAAGATAATACGAATGTTTTATTTTGAAGACGGTGAAACGAAGATGGGTAATCTTACGACAGTCACCATTTTTTGTTATGAATGTCTAACCATTCCAAAACATTCGTAACAACTTTTTAGTTTCACCTTTTTGAAGTATTCTTTATGTACATGAGAACACCAACATGGTTCAAATCATATTCTTAGTTTTTTCGGTAAAGTCACGTTGAAGAGAAACAACAAAATAACAAAATATATATAAAACCTTGAGAAAACCAAGATGTTGTGAAACGGAGCCACGTAAAAATGTATCTGTCACGGAGGCAGGCAAGGGTGTCTACTTTTGGAGAAGGATAATTCGTGAGACTTGACGTGTATGTATATTCAGCCTATGTGAGCAGTGCCACACCATGTGACACACAAATCCACCTCGTGACGGTGGGTGATCTCTGCTGCATCGACTCAAACCCTGTGTGAACAGCGAAGATGACTTCGAGGTAACATTGCTTCTGCCCTGGACAGTGAAGTTTTGACGCCACCCGGAGATAATAAATGTTAAGGGGATGAACTTAATTCCTTAG